TGCCATTTCCTCCTTCCTAGGGCTGAGAGAGAGTGACTGGCCCAAGGTCACTCAGCTGGCTTCGTGCCTAAGGTGGGACTAGAAGTCACAGTCTCCTGGTTTCTAGCCTGATGCCTTAACCACTACTCCAATCTGCTGTATTAAAAGATTTGAGTGTACAAAACTCTTTGCTGCCTTCCTGTGTAAGATGATACCCATTTCCAGATAAGTAGTTCTAAAGACAGAGTTCATACTTTCTTCAGTTATCATTTGGTTACTTTCAAGAAGGATGAGGGCATGTTTCTCCTAGCACTAAGATCGATTTCTCTTGCTTCAGTTATGTAAAGATTACAGGTCTTTCAATCTTTCAATTCCTAGTCATGCTGGTTGGATATAATCCCAATTTTCCCTCTCATACCAGCTCCCCTGCCTTAGCATGCCACTGTTGTTAGATATTTTGTTGTTAGGTGGGCAACATAAAAAGGAGGTGTTTACTGCATTTTTGGTAAGTTGAGGGACCACATACAGTTTAGTAGGTTAGAAATTATGCAAACTTGTTCAAGGTAGAGTAACCCTTTCTAGCCCTCTGATTCATGATCCTTTCTAATTGTGAAATAGGGTACTAATGTTTATGATATAATGCAGAACATTTAACTTCTTACCTACCTGTTAATATTTAGTTGTTCTCAGGTTTAGTCCAAGCTCAGCTGTAAATCCTGACTTTCCAGAAATCTTAGCCCTTTATTCAGAAACTGACTTACTCAGAAGGCACTCACATATGATTCAGCTAGAACAGTCTATTTCAGACAAGAATTCAGCCCTCTATACACAGAAGACTTGTCTACTGAATTGATATAGATCTATGCTCCAGGATTTAAACTCTAGATTTTTCCCCTGCCTTTGTAAATTAACAGCTCATTTTTTTGATCGCTTTGGAGACATCTGATATACACTGATTTAGAGTTGTCTCTACCCTGGAACTCTGGGCTCCTGTGTAACACCATTTCTGCACCATTTTATGTTAGTTTAAATACTATAATTTTAATGCTAAAAATAAAGTGTTACATTATCACTTCATTTTTAAAACCTACATACAGAGAATTTATGGCTTCTTTTCTTTAAAAACAGTCCTTTAAATTCAGGTGGGAGATTAAGGAAGAATAAAATAAAGTTTTACTATGTGCATTTTTAAAATTTCTTTGTGTGACAGGTTCACTCCTTTGAAGCAATGGATTACAATGGCATATACCCTTGGACACCCTTTATTTCATCACCCAAACTAACTGAAGTGTTTGAAAAACAGTTCAAGGATTTAATTGTTACATATCAATACAAAAATGGGCACGTAGAAGACATAATGGCTCCAGCACATGTCTCAGAATTTGCTTTGAACCTCTGCAAAGGAATTTTGAATATACATGAATATACCATCAAGAGTGACCAGAAAAACTATAATTTAAGAGAGGTGAACCATAATTTCAGTTTTATTTGTGATATGGCATTATGACCTTCTGCTTTCCTTTTTGTCCAATAACACAGTTACAGTTCTATTTGGGTTATAAGCAACATTTCTGGGTCAGACAAGAATTCTGAAGTTGAACATGATTTCTCAGTAGTGTGATTTTATCTGCAACCAATTTTCAGTTCACTTTGTTGGGTAGGAGTGGTTGTCCTAACCTGGAGTCCCACAGCACTTACTGTACAGTCATTGATATTAGTATCAACAGAGAAATTCCAAATTGCACCTTCTAATCATATATTTAGAGCAGGGCTTTTCTGCTCTAGGGTTTTGCTAGAAGTTGGTTGGGTTCCATGAGAGACTGAGGGCAAAACAAAAAAAAAAGGCTCACTCAAGCACAGCCCATTTTTTATCGCTACAGCTTTGCTTCTGGATTGAAGGTTCCAGGAATTTACAGATTCCACATTCTGAATAAGTTTGAAAACCTGGATTTAGAGTACAGCCCAAAGCATAACATGTGTGTTCAAGTCCCACTAAAATTTTAACAGTGCAACCCTATGGCTGTCTATTCAGAAATAAGGATTATTAAGTTCCATGGAATTTGCATGTGGGTTTGGGGCCTTGAATGTCTGACTCTGAATTGGACTGTGGCCCAAGTGTGTGTCTGTGTGTACCCTTGTACCCTTGTGAGTGTATACACACACACATCTGAAATAACTTGCTGGTAGAGCTAAAAGGAAGGAAGAAAATTCTTCTTAAACTCCTGTAAAATAAATCTGCAAAATTGTAATTTGGTTCATAATAAAATCCTAAATTAATTTTACTTATCTATGTAAATTAATTACCTCAACTAGATACTGATACTGGTAAAATAGTTAAAATTATTTTGATAGAAAATTCAGAATATAATCAATTTAATTTAAGAAACAGCTATGTGAATATAGGAATATTGAACTTGGAAAACTGACTTGCAGCTTACTGACCACTGATCATATTTAATCCCTGAATCACCTGAATGTCTACTTTTTATATATGCTATTTTTTTTCCTCACATCTCCCTCCAGTTAAACAAGTCCAAATCAGCTAAAATCAGGATCATTGTTTTTATTAGAGGCTATATTCCACAGTATCCAAATTATCCAGCATATCATTTTATATACTTAATAAACAAATAAAATAGTGTTCAAAAAGGGTCTGTTGTACTGATTACCAAGATATATCATATTGCTATGTGGCATTCATCCACAGGTTTTTTTGTTTTTAGGAAGGAAAAAAGAAAAAAGTCATGGAAGGTCACAAGTAGAATAGCAGCCTTCCAAATTCAATGCAAATATTCCCTCTTTCATTTCATATTGGGTTCATTATGTGAAGGTGCTGCTACAATTTGGGATGGTGAATATCATTTCGTTAAGCTAATGGCAAGTATAAAGCACATGGAAGCGTCTAGGCTTCAAATGCCTTGGGGGGGAATAAAACAAATTTAAACTTAGTAGAAATACTAAATACATACTGAGGTTTCACTTTTGATGAATACTAAAAAAGTGATATAATATTAGAGATCTGAGTGAACTCTGCTAATATAAGAAAGAAAATTCTCATTTCTTTGGTAAGTGAACTAATTATTGCTGCTTTCATGACATACCTGCTCATATACAATTCCAAGGCTTCTAATAGAGGAATGTATGAATTGTAAATTAGGTGTAATAGGATTTTTAGGGACAATATGCCAGTTACGGCTCTGAAATTTCTTGATTTTGAGGTTTAATTCTCATTGATCAGATTATTTGGCCATTTTTTAATTAAAATTTTCCAAATCATGCTTTAAATACAATAAGCCTAATTGAAAATGAACAAAGAACTTCTCAAAGGAACAAGCCAGGTTTTTACTGAGAGCTGTAGGGGTTTGCAGTGATGGAGGAGGAGGAGAAATAATTGAGAATTTGATTACAGGCATTAGGAGTTAGAATGGGGATTGCAATTCCCCAAGTGGATTGATACTTTTCATAAGGAACTTACCTTTGTATTGTATTTATAATTATTTATTTTGCAGAATGGCATTGAGGGTAGATGTAACACAACATACATCATTCAAAACACTGAGAAACCAGATGAATTCTTGATGACCAAATCCAAGGATTTAACTGATTGTGATAACATAGCTTTAAAAGTTGTTGGTGCTGCATATGTTACTCCATGTCAACTCTGCAGACAGGTCAGTACCATTAATGGATGTGTGTGTGTGAGAGAGTTGATAGATAGATGCTATAGATATAGATATATAGAGTTGGGCATACAAGTTTAATAAATTATTATTATTAGGCCTAGATATACTCTGTATGTGTGTGTACATATATAT